CCCCCCCCCCCCCCCCGGTGCTGGAGCCTCCATACAACCCCAAGTACAACAATACCGTTGGCTAGTGCCCATCCCGTCGCGGGCCCTGGCACCGCCATCATCGCCCGTAGTGTAGGGGGTGCATGTTTTGACGACTTTCACTTCCGCATAGCCCCAGCTCTTGTTCTTTGGTGGCTTCACCTCTCTGCCTTCTAGAAGCCACCCTCGCACAAAACAAACCCCGTGGACGACTAGCTGGTTTGAAGTGTCTCGTACCCTTGCAGCTTGCAGAAAAGACCGGAGAACAATCCGGAAACTGACTGAGAAGCTAACCGTCTATGGAGAGCAGAAAGCAGGAGAGATGGATCATGAGAATACATTCGAATCGTATTGGCGCATTCGTTGCTCCAGCGGAAAAAGACCCTTGATGTTTTCGCTAGCTTTGGAACTCTTGTTTACCTTTTGCGCGGCCATCCCCATGGCGGATTGGCTTGGCTTCCCGAAGCCTTCGATAAGCCGCAAGATGGGTGGCTTGTCCGGGCAGATTTGAGGATTGTCTTGCGCCGAATATTGGTCCGTGACTATTGCTTCACATAGACGACAGTCCGATGAAAAGTACTCCCCAAATCATCTCGGGCTTGCCAATCAAGTGAAGCAACCGAACGACGACGCATGCCAGCTCAATCGTCAGCTTAGTTGCAAGACCCCTGATCATACCATCGAGACCGAAGGCCTTATCCCGGACCCGACATAGCCAGCAATCGAGATGATCCCGGGCGTTTTTCTGCACTTGCTGGTTCAAAAAAAAAAAAAAAAAAAAAAAAAAAAACCTTCTGCATCTTCATATTGGAAGATCGACCGCCTACGAGGGCCCCGGAATGTGCGCGCCCTGATCGGAGTGTAATCTCGTGTCCGGACCTCGCATGCATCGAGAACGAGGCGCCTATACCCTTTCATCATCCATCTGTCGGTGCTATTTTTAGTGTTCAAGCCCGATATCCTCCTCCCTCGTGAGGAGTATTCTGTACGAATCGGGTGCGAAGGGCTGCCCATTTTCCGTGTCGTCGTGGTGCCATGTTTGGTGAGTTTCGAGGCATCAGGAGGTGTCGCTCCAACGGGATCGTGAGTAAGCTACCCCAACCAAGATATCTCTGCATGGCAGGCATCCAAGCTCTCCGTGCAGGTACCAGCCATCACGATAGATCCCGTTACCTGATATTGTTGCACAGTCCATGCATCGGGAGGTAAACATGGTCTGGACTTTGGAGGCATAGCCATATGCTGATTGCAGCTTTGCTCACCAGCCCTCTGACGCTATCAACCATCACCATTGCCTGTTCGCTCCTTCAACTTAGTGGTGACTTACGGGTTCCGAGACTCCCGAGCCAAACTGGGCAACGCCAGATTGCTGCTTCATTTGATGATACAGAAGTCGGGGTGGTTTCTGAATCTTGTCTCACCCCAATCCACCATGGACAACAATGGGCGAACTGACGCCCAGCCCCTGTGCCATCCCAGAAAGCCATTCAAACCCCAGCATGTCCACACAAGACGTCTGCCATAATCGGAGACACATCGGCGCCGTGTTACACCCTAGACCATTCTTGGTGAGACTAGCAGTTCCCTGACAGCAGGCCACGGCCTCCCATGAGACAAGCAGATCATCATCCGATGAATGTGTCAAGCCTAAAGTTCGAACTGAAAGCCTGTCACACATTACCACGGGTCAAGTGGGGACTACCATCGAGTAACCGTGATCTACCGTCTCGAGCGACGTAGCTGACGGGCCAAGATGTGAGGCGTGTAGTGACATGCTTGTGGGACAGGCAAATGCGGGTGAGGTTTCGAGACAAGCAAGAGACGCAGCGGCCGGAGACTCATGGGTCTTCACCAGGCCCATGAAATCAACTCAAGAAGATTCCACCCGCTTCGGAGTATGCGCCACGTAAGCATCCAGCCGGTCTGAGATCATCATGGGGACGGTATTTCGCTCCTCCAGGAAGCCTGCCTTGCCAAGCTCTTTCTTGTGATAGTCTCTTTATCCACCTTGGGCTAGACCGAAGGAGCCCACTTCGGTCACGGCATGACGCTTGCGGCGGTGCAATCTATGGTTCGTCTCGGCGGGGCATTCGGTGGCAAAAGGATGCGGTCCTGTCTGTCGTGGCAGAGTCGAACAAACACTGAAGTCTAGAGGGCCGGATTCGGTAGGGGTTAGCAATCGAATTTGGAAGTCGTAGCAAAAACAAACCTAGATTCGGAGACGAAGGCAATGTTTGAGCAACCTCTGGCAAACTCAAATTAGCCCAAAGTGTCCTCAAAGAGCTCCAAGCACCACAGGTAGCCCCTGGCTCGGTAGTTGTAGCGGTCGTGGACTGAGGATACCCGTCTGCAGCGACTTGCGCAAGTTCGGGTATGTGGTGACCGTTCCCAGGAGGGTGGTCTCGTACATGGCTCCTTATTCTTTTCACTCCATGGCCAATTTGCGTCAAGGGAGGAGGGTCCGGGACGAGAATGCACACAGCTTCATGCTTCGACGCCTTACTGCCGTATCAACTCAGTTGCTGAAAAGAACGACCGGTGATTGCCCGATTGCAACGACCATGACGGATATGTCGATATGAATGCACGTACCAAGCGTCGGGATGCGTCTGTCCAGACGTCGGAGTCGAGTTGGGGTGGAAATGGAAGACGCTTTCTATGGAGAGGCGGCGTAGTTACACCTACACCCGTCTTGTTTGTTGATTGGACAATATATAGCCCCTTCGAGCAGGTAGGCAACCGAAGCCATTACGCTTGGTAAGGGTGCAGTGAACACATCGCATGTAAGCCCTGAAGCCTTTGCGTGTTTTCGTATGTCTGCCTTTCTCAACACCTTGGGTATGCGGTAAGAATCTCAAATACCCCATGATATCAATAAATCCTTGATGCTCATTCGTAGGGGATTCCGGTCTTCCTCGACGCCAAGTCCATTGATGTTCTTTGTTGACCGCAATGACCGAATAGCAAGTCCAGGGATGGCAAAGCCATCTCGCTCGATGACCTTTGCAGGGAGTCGACCTTGATTAGCCGTATTCAAGACGCGCAACGGACCTGTTAAACCGATGTGACGCCCGACTGCCACCAGACTTGAACGGCATCATGGCCTACATCAAGAACCCGTGAGACGGGAAACAGTTGCCAACTGGGAGACCGACAGTCAATGTACAAAGGAAGCATGGGATGCCAGCCTCAAAGCTAAATGGCCTACCTTGGAGTGTAATCGAACCCACTTACCTTGGGAAAATGACATCCAGATATCCGATCAAAAGATCTCCAAATATGCTCAGGCGATTGATTGCGGACAGACTGCCTAAGCACTCAACAATCAGTCGCCGTGACATGTCCGCTTGAGAACAAGCGCACGGCTCACCATCTTAGCCTTGTTTTGGCTGTCACGTAATGGAAACGTTTTCCAGCGTTACAAGCCCTCCGTGTTAGTCAAGCTTGTCACAATTTGCTGCAACCAGACTCAAGCAGCCATTGGGTGACTGTCTGTTTTTCCCAACCCATTTGGGACCCAAGTTATGCCGAAGGACTTGATACCATCAAAGCGTGGTCTTGTACCGGCCGTGACGGCTATGTATCTGCTCGTACCGGTTTGCTGAAGGTGCCCAGGAACCTCCGGGAACCAACCGGGAAGCGGCTTCTCTGTCCTAGATAGGCCAAGCAGCTCATGAGTGCCTATAGCCAGGACACAGATGGGTCACACTCGTTGTACCTCCAGCAGATATGCGGGGCTACCTGGCATGTGTTGAGGAAGCGACTGTTCGTGCCTAACAGCACTTACAGTATGTCTGTATGCCCGGTGGAATTTCATGATTTGAGCTCCGTGCATGTCAGCCATTGTCAGCGGCGGGCTCGAACCCCCGTAGAAGCCGACCATCGTAGAGGGTGAAAATGGTCCTGGATTCTGATGCAGGCGGACGGGTGCGGAGGCAGACGTGTCGAACCGAAGCCTTGCTAAGGGCAACAGGCAAGCAGACGGCAAGCCCTGGATGATACTCTGGACCGTCTTGACTCATCGATGAGGAGACAAAAGGAGACCGGGCGCATTAATGTCTGCATAGAATCGCGTCACATCCTGGTCCAGCTTCACACCCTCTGGGGATGAGAATTGGTGAATCAACCAATCGTCGCCGGTGCAGCAACCGCCGGGCTGGACAGAGACCTACGACCGGTGAGGGCAGATCGCGACGAATACCTGGGAAAGCATCAGTGGATTGTCAGGAGTTTTGATAAAAAGGGCCGCGGCGAATGCTGATTGGATCCGGTCGATATCTCGTGCTGGGTAAAGGTCTCGGTAATGACACAGCACCAACTGCTAACAGTTTGTGGTGATAATTTAGGGCAGAAATGTTAAGGAACCGGGATGGCGTGATGTATACCTACCTCTCTCCTGCCTCTTTACTTTTCGAGCAGCGACCAGACTGTACCTGGTGTCGGAGCCAGTCACGGAATTCGGAACAGGCAGGAGGCCTGAACGGCCAGCGAGTGACACTGGCACCCCATACATCACGAGCAGGAGGAGTCTGGTCTGGGGGACGAAGCGGGTAACATGGGTTCGCAATAAACTCATTTGTTCCATCGCAAGTACCGAGAGAGACAAACTGTGCGACAGGATGAGACCAAGGAGCGATTTCCTGCGCTGGCCTGGTAAAACGAGTACGATCCGCACCAACAAGATCCAGCCTAGGTAGGTGTGGTGCTGTGAAGGAAAGGATTGTGCATATTTTGGAGGGAATGAATCTGGCGATACTTTTAGTTCTGTGATTCCAACGATGTCGTCTCGTCATGTGCGATTGAAGGGAGGGACAAGAGCGAATCATTTCGTGGGCGAGATTCCATTGAATGGAGTGGGAAACTGCTGCTGCTGTTGAGTGTCGACAGAACTGAATCGCCAAGTCCAACGCGATGGGCGATGTCCGTGTCTCCAAAATGAATGGGACTGGATCGATTGCCGCAGTGACCGAGTGTGTGAGGTGAATGCGATCGTATGGAAAGTAGGTATCATGACGGAAGGAACGACGCCTTGTTCACTTCCCTAAAGGTAGGTATTTCCCCTCGGAATTGAGTCTGGGCTGCAACTGGCCGCAACAGAGATGGAAAGCGCCCCTTACCCTCCCCGAGAGCAAAGCCCGGTAGAGGTACTAAGTAGGTAGAGGTAGGTATCCTCCAGGATCGATGGAAGGAGATTGCCAGCCTAGAGGTAAGGATGGTTCAATTTCGTCCCGCGCTCTTTCCCATTCGAAAATCCCCAGACTCAAATTGAGATTCGTCGACGCGCGTAACTGAATTCGGTTTGCAAAGCCAAAGAGGGCAGTTGCAGCCAGAGCCGAGGAGCTGGCACTGTGTTGAATGAGACTGTCCGTCGTGATCGGAGGACGAAGCCGTCACTTGCCATGTGACTTGGTCCAGGTCTACTTGTCCAAAAGAAAGAGGTGCTCAATCAGGAACATACCACATGAAGTACAGGGCCCATGATAGAAGACATGACTGAGTTCACTCTGCGACTTCCATCTTCTGGCTCTCTCGTTTCTGAGACCTCGACCCGTCGGGTTTTGGACGTTGAGGTTCTCGAAGTGGGTCTTGAGTAGTTACGGTGCGGAGAAAGAGCCAAGTACGCCAAGATAAGATGGCTACAGTATTGTCCACTCAGAATGTGAAGATAAGTGGAGGCCTTGTTCAAAGTGGGGGTGCTCTGGGGTTCTCTCGGTCGTCGGCAGGTGTGCTGTTGTCCCCTGTCGCCGCAACGGAGGGAAGCAAGGAAGGAGCTTGGCCTTGGTTTTCGATTGAACTTGTCTAATTTCAACCACTCAGCAAGATGGACAGACGCTTCAGTTCACTTCACTCATCAAAGCAGGAGATTTGATGGAAGGTACTGGTGTGTCTATCCGTGTCTCTGTTTCCAGGAGCCAATCTTTGGAGGCGTTAGCAGCTTCCGGTTTGATCAGCCATAACGGTCTCTAAACTTCAAGTAGTAGGTACATCCAAGCTCAGCTGTACACAGGTCGGCATCTACCTCTATGGTAGGTACCTTCCTAGGTATGTTCCCCGGATCGCCCGTAGCTTAAGAAATTAAAATTCTTGACAGACAGCCGCGGCGGGATCTGAGCTCCGTAGGTCGTCTTTCCAATGAACCAACCCTTCACTTTCGACCGCCCATCCCATCTCGGAGGAGGGATGATGCTGACTTGCATGTGCTCATCTTCAATTTGGTGGATGGGTGATCTTCGTCTGCATCTTTGTTCATGGCGCTTCACAGCCCGTTTGCATGCTCCAGTCGGATCAACATGCATGGGCGATCAGCTTTCAGAATCTCTGTCTCTCCCAACTCCCCATCTCTCTTCAGTCGAATATCAGGGTACATGTAGGCAACTGGGCGGGTAACCTTTGCCTCATATAAACAAAAAACCAACCCGACTCTGATCGACTTTCTATCTAGGTACTCTAGACGCGATACAGTCTCGTTGCAGCAGTGGCTGCAGGACATGTGTTACCTCCAGGTCATGACCTCTGCATTCGGTTGGTTCACATTCAAGAGTTGTGGCCTGTGGTGGTGACTGAACAAGCTACCTACGTTCAGAGAGAAAGTATCGGCATCTGAGCTTATTTACCCAATGAGGGCGGGTTCATGCACCCTACCAGAAGAACCAGACACATTCCAGTGAATACACTGCTAAAGAGGTGAGACAGCCAGGGCTAGGAGGCTCCGTCGTCGTTTCTAGGGCTCAAGGTACACCTTACTCTTACAGTCCCAATCCAGCCTGTTACTGACGCTAATCCCATTTTTTTTGTAGCGGCTTTGACCATGTTGCCAATGGGCTTGACTAGAGGTGTCAAGTCCGAATATCTTCACTTATACGGACGGCCTGCAACTCGGTAGCACTGACCTTTCACCTAATCCACCCATCACCACACTGTCATATCATCGATATCACCATTCCCATCGTCATCACTGTTGTTGCCAAACCGTCGTTGCCATCCATGTTTCCCACGCAAGGACCCTGGAGTTTTCAAAAGCCGGGGAGTGATGTGTCACATGGCACAGATCTCTTTTGCAGCGAAAGAGGTGTGGGAAAATATGGGGTGCGCCAAAAACAAGCCCCCGAGGGCGTTCTTTGTGTTCCAACCATCCGCCCAGCAGGCTTGCAGACTGCTTAGCTGCCATGCTGACATTGTGTAGTACTGCTGTTCATGCTGCCCCTTATTGCCCTGTTGCCAGGCTGCCGGCCTGCTCTGCTAGATTCAGGTGCAGTGTTCCTGAAGGCTGGTGTGTGGAATGCCTCATGAAACCAGCACCCAGCACATTCTAGAAGAACAAACATCTGCTGCGCTCACAAAACCTTTAGCTTTGTGCGCATCTTATTTGAGCCGGAACCTGGACGCCAACGCAACCTGAGCCGTTTCGCTCAGCGGCCCGAACCGATCGCTGAGGCAGTCATTGATACCGAAAAGACCTGTTGCCATAACCTCTTCGTCTGCCAAGTCTTAGCCGCTTCCGTATGGTCAGTTTTCAACAACTCAAAGATAATATACTACAACAACCCTCATCCGAGAATCGCTATCGTCGAAACAGGAACGCAAAGCCATGCCACTACCTCTAATTACCTCGGATCAGCTAGGAAAGCGACCTGCTTCCTCAAGGACAAGCAGTTCTTCCGAGTACCTCTATTGTCATTCTGCGCAAGACCTCAGCCAATGGCTGGCCGAGCCTGCCTGAACCCCCCCGGGTAGCAGACGAAACGGCCGAAAGATTATTTCATCTGAAACAAATGGATAAACATCTTGCCCCCTTCGGCTATGGAGTCATTGGAGCGCTCTACGCCAGCAAGCCTAGCGCCAGCCTCGGGTTTGGTGGCTGGACACATGCATCTATTCGAAGAAAGACGGAAACCTGCACAAACGACCTCCTGCCTTTCGTCCACTCACCCCTTTTCTCATGGATCGGCAGCATCAGCTCATACTGGCCACGCGATAGAGCAACCATCAGATCAGCAATGGCAGCAGCAGCAGCAGCAGCAGCAGCAATAACAAGGAGAATGGTACCGATACGGCCAAGTCACGCTTTTGGCGAGGGGGAAAAAGAACGGCCGAGCGGTATTTTCGTCCGTGCCTCCCAGATTTGATCATTCGCCCCCCCCTTGCCCGTCGTCTCGTTGAACCTCAGTCAAGAGGCACCAATGGTGGTCCAAACACAGTTAGACATGATTGGACCCCAATGCTGAAACGGGCAAATCCAAGGAGTCATGGAGCAAAACAAACTTCACTCAGCCCAGCTGCTGACCTCCCTACCGCAGAGCATCCCCTCACCCGTTTGATCTTTGGTGTGTGGGGGCAAGAAAGAGATGGTACACCGAACACTACCTTGCCGGGCCCCGGGCAGTTTGCATGCTCTCTCGATGGCGTGCATCACAATCCTAGTAACGGACGTATCGCCCGGGCCACTCCAATGGCTGTGTCTGAAGAGGTGCCCGTCCAAAGCTGCCTGTGAGGCTTCACGTCGGGATCATGGCCTAGAGGTTCTTGGAAACAGAAAAGAGGCATATCTGGACCCGTGTCTCGAAGAGGAACTACATCGTCGACTGTATACCTCACGTGTCGGTACAAGGGGCCCTGCTCCATCGAGTAAGACAGACCTATATGGCCTTGATTTGGCCTCCCTGCAAGAGCTTTGTTCGGCCGTTGCCGAACACGTCAAACCTATAGGGCCGAAAGCTGAAGGCGTGCTGCATTTCTGGACTGGGCCTTCAGCTCTGCGCTGGCACGTCGTTACTGCAATACGGAACTTCCCCTTCCTCTGGCTCGCAATGTCTGGTCCGTTGTGGGTTGAACCTTGGCCTGACCCTGTTCTCACCTTTCCGCCTCTTCATGACCGACGCCTGACTTTGAGTGATGCAGGCAGTCAGCCAAAGAACTGCGCAGGCGAACTTACTGCAGCAATCTACCTTGATGAAGCAGTCCTGGGCTTAAGGACTGGGACATCCGATTAGGGTGGCAGGATTCCAACTCTCAGTGGCCCAAAGCCTGTCAACCGTCTGCACCTACCCGTCTCTGGGGCATCACTCCTTGCCCGGCGGGTTTCTCTTCAGATCAAAACAGATGTTTGTGGCGCATTGTAGAAGTCCTTGGATGGAGGATACGTGCATACCCTGACGCATAGAAGACGAGGTTTCCAAAGAAGCCAGCAGAGAAGCGACTTACCCTGGCGCGGAACCTTTTGATACCTCGATCTCAAGATTGCGGATGTTTATCGCTGGTAAATACGGGTCTTTACGGTATCGCAACGGATACAACTCAACATTTCAAGGTTAACAATGAGGTAAGTGGAAGATCAGGACCTTTGGGGCAGCACCATCATCACAACATCGCCCAGCCGTCACCTCACGCCGATATGTTTGGTGAATCCTTGCTTGCTTTCCTTACTTGCCCAAAACAAATTGTAGACAGCATGTCAACTGTATTGACATGCCGGTCGACTATCAAGTGATCGGTCAAGACAAGAAGAAGTGATGTTTTGTGACTCGAGCGGCCCCCTGCTTTGAAATCTTGCGTAGTGTTTTCGATTCAATCACCGGAGTAGGCTGATGGGGGACCCTCTACCCAGACTCACACGTGGGCTTCCACAGGTCATCATAGTCTCTAGCTGCTACTGCATAAGAATGCCAACCAAAAGTGCGGTCCCCCTAATCGCCTCGTCTGAGAAAGGACATCAGGCTTTGTCTTGAGATTAAAAGACCGGGGACTCTTGACTTCTCTCCGCATCCATGTGTCCCATCGTCGTTGTCTCAAACCCCTGCGCTACCCATCTTGTTTGTGCTTGAGCTTAAGAAGGTGTAGTTATCCCTCCTGACCATTTCGTCCTGCATCTTTTGGTTTTCCCTTTACTCTACGAGCTTTTTGGTGTTCTGAAAGCCCTAGCCTGGCGATACACACATTCTGCCTGTACGACTCACCGCTGTGCTGGACGTACTTCCGAACGAACTCCCGCACTCCCTTCGCTGCTCTTGTTGCCACCTCTGTACGATCCTCTTCAAGCCACCGCACCCGGGGTCCCCATCGAGGGCACCAGAAAGCCACCTACTTGCGATCCTGCACTCCCCTCGACCAGATTATACGGCATCATTGTCTTGTTCATTAGGCGAAGACACGCTGCGGACAGCCTAGAATTTTGGTCGCTATCGTCGCTCGGAAACACACGGTCGAGGAAAATTTCCAAACAAGTTTGCCACAGCTACGGCACCACCGAGCGAATTTCCAGAGCGACTTCTTTTTCCGATCTCCACATCCTCCGCAACAACATCGGGCAAGCCTCTCATCTACAGCGCCGCATTTTTTTGCGAGCCATAGCCCGGCAGTTATTCGACGCACCCATCTCGCAAAGATACCAGACCGGAGTCTGAGGGACAAAAAAACAAGTTTCAAACAAGGTGAGCTGAGAATGATGAGAATCACAGATAATGAGTTTCCGCAGCCTGTTTCTCTTCTTTTTCTTCCCCGTTCTCTCTCTATCGGCCGGAGCCCTGTTTGGAAGGACCGATAAACCCAGGGTTGTGGTTCCCGGCTGCAGCGACCACTCTTCCTGCACGTATTATCATTTTGAGCAATCGGAGCGGACATTGGTCACGTAGGACAAGCACTGATCCCGACCAGGCGCACACACTTCTTCTCTGACTTGCATGTTAGTGCATCACCCCTTTTAAAACGCTGTCCGTGATGGTCGGGCTCAAAGACCTCGCTGCGATACCGGCAGGAACTTGGGACATCGAGCCAGCTATGAGGAGCTAGGGGTAAAGGTTGAAATAAAAAGAAAAATCCTCCCCGATAAGAAAAAAGAGAAAAAAAAAAAAGAACAGCAGCTCCCTCCAACGACATCAATTCTTCATGAGCGAAAGAGAGCCTCAAGCCTGGATCTCGTAGCTCCGGCTACAGATTCAGATCACGTTTCGGGCCATCTGGTCCATTCGTCGCTTACTGTGCCAGCGGGCTTGTCCTCTCGCTCCTTGCCCACGTTCTTGCCCGTACCCTCCATCCTGATATATCTGCCTATACACGCTCATACCAAAGCTCCCTTTGTGGAGGAGCTCAGCGGCTTGATCAGTATGCTAACGGGACCCTTTTTTTTTCTATGCTTAGGTTATAGCGACGCAAGCACCAACCGCTGTTTTCTCGTCGCGATACAGTGTAGATTGACCGCTTGGCATGACAGGGGCGCATATCAAGGTCAGTCAACCAATCAAACCCTCGACCAAGTTTTAGCAAGCGACATCGGAAAGAAATACACTCTGAGCTGTTGAGTCGAGAGGCAAGAGGATGAAGAAAACAACAGAGGAAGGAGAAGGTGAAGAGGGAGAGGATGAGGATGAGGACAGGTGATGGAATTGAGGCATGGCCTTTGGATTCCCTTCTACCCCAATACTCGCCACCTGCTCTCTTTTCCTGTTACGGCTCGCCTGGAAGGTCTAACCCCAATCGGGGCGTGAGATCGCCTCCTTTTCCACCACCTTTGGGGCAGCACTGGCACTGTAGCGGAAGATATTCACTGACTAACTCCCCGGAGACGGACTTTGTATAGGGAACGCACCTACTAGCGAACTTTTCTCACTCACGAGCCTCGTATGAATCCGCCGCTTTCAAAGGTAAACACTCATTCCATCTAATTCACGTTGCTTTTCCCTTAAAATTCCTGGTACAACATGGTTTTGATCTGCGTTGCCCGCCTATCCCATCCGACCCTTGATTCTTGCGGCCACTGCGGCCGTATGCAGCACCCTGGACCTAGGCCTGGACCCTTTGGCGATCGAACCAGCCGACAGCTATCTATACAGCATGCGAAATCTTTCTCGGCTGTACCGGGGCCAGGTTGGATGACATCAATATAAGCGCAATCAAGACAAATAGGCCGGGTTTTCAACGACAAATACGCGGCTCCTCATCGGTGAAAACCTACGGGGCCTTCCATTGCCGTAGCTAGCGGCGGCGCAGACGAAATAAATGAGTTATGTTCAATTCTAGAGGTTAGTGAAAGGCAGTTCCGTTGTGATGATCCTATCCCCCACCCCCTCCTGCACAATTTTCACGTTTTTCGGTCTTTCCCGGCTGTGTCTTGATTCTTTTCTTGACAAGACTTGCACATCGACTCCATATTCGGTCGCCAGTGCGCTCCATTCCGCTTTTCTAGCTTGTTTTAGTCCGGCCCACCAGGTTGGTCTTGCGGCCTCTCGCTGGCTGACGGATGCCCTGGCTCACAGTCTGTGAGTTTTCCCGACGTCTCCAGTTTCTATCTTGGGCAAGCGCTCTCGGGCAAACGTTGGAAGATCTGTACTGGACACGCCCTCAGAGCATCAGTCGAAAGGAACAAGTTGATGCAGCTCTCGGCGCGTTTTGTACGACGGCAGGGTTCCATCCCGATCGTTTGTGGGGCAACCCTACAAAACGAATCCCGTGTTGCTCTTGTTCCGACTGGTCTGGCCGGGCTACAGACGGCCAACTGCAAGCTCACTGTTTAGGACTCGATGTACCTCTGCATGGCAGGCGGTATCTGCTTGTACCACCATGTGTGTACTTGTAGTCTCATCAAAACCATCCTCTCTGCCTGTCAGCCTACCTCTTGTTCATGGCTCCCCTGTTGCCGTTGCGCGGCTGGGGGCATCGTCTGGTACACTGTACCTAAGCTTTGCTTAGGTTAACAAGCACTAGCATGTCAGGACAGGACAAGACGGAATGAGAGTGGATGAGGTATGCAACAATAGTGCAGCTCAGCGAGCAAACATCATGTTGCCTCCCTCCCACTTTAGACCAGAAGATTTGTTTCCCTACTCTATCCCGTCCTCGAAATTCCTCGAATTTGTACATGTTTCCTCCCATTGGCACGTCTCGCTCCCGTTATGTTATCTCCCTTCCAGCCCCTTTGTTTCGTGAACGATACCTATCACCGATGCGACTTGTTTAGGTAGCATTATAGCGTGGTGATTGTGGTGTTTATTCGCTAACATTTACTCTTGCGGCTTCTTCTAGGCTCTCCTAGCAATTCCGATGGCTCTTGGTAGCCCAGCCATCGTTATGGTCCAGGAACGGCATTATCACTTGGCTCAATGCTCCTCTAGTCGTCTGGCACTGCATCCATATACGCTTACATAGCTGATGGGTACATCCTCACGAGCTTCTTCAAGCCGTGCCACAGCCGCCTTGTCATGTTGCACCCCGCACGACCGATTAGGACCGTTCAGTGAACACTCTACCTTGCCTGAAAACGGCACACGACTAATCTATCTTTTGGCTTTTCATTAAAATCACGCCTTGCTTGCTTGCCTCATCTTGCTGTTGCTCGCTGTCAGACGGAAGACATGGGACAAGTGAGGAATGGAAGCATATGACATGCCCAGGAATCAGATGAAACTAAAAGGGGCAGTTCGCAAAAGAAATCTGACTGACGCTGTATTTTTAGCAGGACTTTGGGCCGTCTGCCGAGCTTGACTACGGTCTCGACATCCCCCCAACCACAGCCGACATGCGGTAAGTAACTACACTACACTACAAGCTTTCTTACGTGTCGATTCATTGGCTCTGTGCTATCGTTCTCTGCTTCCCCTTCCTTTCTGCACCCTGGTGAGTGGAGGATGAAATCGCATCTCAGTGTCAGTATTCACACTGGCACTGTCCGTTTCTTCTGCATCACACGGTGGTAGTATGACAGTGAGTGATCTGTCAAGGTAACTCCGACCGGTTCGTCTCCGTACCTTACCTTTACCTCGCACCAAAGTATCTTTTTCACGAACTGTACAAGGGCAGCGGAGTGGTTAAACATACCCGGCATGGTATGTAGTTGTCCTGCATCCTACCCGGCCTCTTTCCTTTTTTCCATCATTCTTCAGCACCAGTGGACAGAGTTAGCTACCCTTGCCCGCCTCTTACCCTTGCCAATTTTCACCGAAAGGCACGGTAAATTCGAAGCTCCCGCAACCCGTATCCATGCGAATGGAGCGGAGGAACGGACACTAAGCTCCTGTCAGCGTTAAAAGCCATATCGCGGTCCGCTCTCCGCACACACTTTCCCATTTCTTAGTCTTTTCTCCCCGCCTGCCCCGATCTCCCCGTCACAAAGGCCGTTACCATCAACGGCTATCTCATATCACACGAGCTACCGGTTTTGAGTTACCCTACCTCAACCTCACAACAGGACCGCCGGCTGCTACCGTTACCCGGTTTCCACTTTCTACTCATCTTTCTCAATCTCCTCCGCCCCCTTTGGCTTCTTCCCGTTCACCACTGGCGAGGTAGCTTGCGGCAGCACCGAAAGAAAAAGAAAAGAGCAATACCTCTACCTTCCCGCCACCCTTGCCATCCATCACTCGTCAACAATTACACCTTCGATCAAAAGAACCGTTGTCGTTAGGGGTAGGGGAGACGAGGCATAGGATCAAACCTGAGAAAAACATGGGTATTTGCTTTCGGCGCTAGCTCTGCCTCATCGCAGTTCACAGCCTATCAGCAAGTTAGAGTACCCAGATTACCGCTCTCGCCATTGTTGTCGCTCTCATTCGATCCACATCCACTTGCGCAAGTTGCCCTGCCGCAAGGCGCTGTGTTCGCGCTTCCGATTCTGTCGGCATCGCTAGCTGTGCAACGCCAAGTGTTGGCAGTACAACCAGAGAGTTGTGGGAGCTACCGTAGCCCCGTCCTACAGGCGCACTTGTGTCTCGCATGGGAAACCTGAACGCTGCATCAAAGTACACAGCGTTCAGGTTGCGAGAAGCTGCGAGCAGTGGCAGCCAGATAAGCTTGGTGCGCGAAGACTGAATGCCAGCCAGTCAGCCAGCCAGTCCGAGCAAGAAAAGCGGCGTGGAGCACCTTGCCAGGCAAGCAGGAGGTCTGTACCATCGAGGTGCACGACAGGCAGACACCTCAAGTCCGGGGGTGGTTGGCTTCTCGGCAATCTAGCCAAAGCAGGACGTTCTACAGTCAAGGTACCTGTTGCTAACCCATCCGATCTTCTCACTCAAACAGCTATACAGACAATACCGCGTCGCTGTCGACGATAGAGGCGCCGCCTCAGCCTTCCTTCATAAGCCTGAACCCCCTACCGATCCCTCCGCCAACCGGCTACACTGACGGAGGTGCCCACGGCTATTTTCCTACCGCTCCCACTGTTTATTCCACTAGCCTGGACGTCAGGCCTCGACTGGGCTCCAAGTATGTGTCACGTCTCCCCTCCTCTTTGAGCCTCCACACCAAATATTTTCCCCTAAGCACCACCTCCGTTCATCGTGCCATGGAACACCATCCCTTTCCCGAGGCTTACACGCCAACTAGTAGCACCTCTGCCTCGGGCATGGCACATGCCCCTCGATCCAACGCATTGCCGCACCCAGGCTCCCAGCTCAGCATTCGAGACAGCTACGCAACTACGACGCCAACCTTCAGAAGGCAAGACCATCACATTCCACGCTCCCCATCCTTCGGCGGCATAACCTCGAGACGGCATCCACTATCGCCCACTCCTAGTCCGGCAACCTACAACACACACAGGATGGACGGCACATATGGGTCAAAGACCCAACCCAACATACCCCCCCTTACCAGCATCGTCGAGTGCGGTGTCCTTTCATATGGAGGCCCTCAAGCAACACCCATCAAGGTGGAGATTAGCGGCATTATCGACAAGGGATTCTTCCTTGCCGAGGAGCAGTGGACTTGCTACAGGCGCAACTACTTTTCCTGTGTTTGCTCCTTCTCTTTAACCCCCAACCTTCCCACCACGGAAATCCAATTCGTTCAGACTGGATCCCCACAGCCTTATACAGTCTATGGCTTTGCCATGTCCATCTCTGCAGCTGTAGCCGACAGCGATAACCAAACAATCGAGTTGGTTCAGCATACGCCAAAGCGAGACAAGGGGCCGGTTGCTAAGCCCGAGAAGGTCCGGTTACTACCAAAGCCGGCTCAGCAAACCCACCATCCACTAAGCGGATTATATAGCAACCCCGACGGAAGTCTCTCGTCGTCCAGAGCATACGACCACCAGCCATACGGGCAACAACAAAGCCCTCTCCCCACTGAACATACGTTTGAGCGTATACAGTTCAAGCAGGCCACGGCGAACAACGGCAAGAGGAGGGCTGCTCAGCAATACTACCACCTCATCGTCGAGCTATGGGCTGATGTTGGAAGCCAGGGAGGGGCAGAAAATTACATCAAGGTAGCCTACAGAAAGTCAGCCAAGATGATTGTCCGCGGGCGGTCTCCAGGTCACTATCAGAATGAGAGGAGAGGAAGCACTAGCAGCGGGCCAGGGGGCTCCGGCGCCGGTAGCATCGGCGGCGGTTATTCTTCAGTCCTCGGACCTGGCGGCGACTATCACCCTGGCACGATGCTCCCTGGCGGCTTCACGCAATTCGGTGATCCGAGAGGTGGCTATGGAGCACGGCATCACCATGAGCTGACCATGGAACCCATGATGTCCCATGACGAAGCCAAGTCGATGACGGACCACAAGGGATACCAATATTTCCCTGCAACGATCTACGAGAGTGAGCACGCGGACCCAAGACATCAACAGGTGGAACTGTTCTCCCACAGCCGCACGGAGGCAGAGAGCAACACGGTTCCCTCCATGTCCAGCGGCTATGATCCGACAAAAGTCAAGCCCGAGGGGGAGAACGGCCTTCCCAGTATGTTTTATCCACCAGTTAGCTCTTACTACTCGCAGCAACGCTGCGGAAGATTTGAGGGCAAAAACAGCTCTAGTGGGTATTACCCTACCAGCATTCCGCCATCTTCAACAATGAATATGACATAGACTCCTGGAAAGGAGTGGCATTTGCGGTCCGGACGGAACCGTTGTATCATGATCCAGGAGCATTGTGATGTCGTCTAAGAAGAGATGTTAAAAAAGAAGACCATGAATAAGGGAAAAAGGCATTTATATTGTCTTGAGCTGATTGATGTTCACTCACTCAAGCAAGACGATGTCAGTCACCACTTGTGGAAACGAGAAGATATGGGATGACGAACGTATGTGGGCGCACACGTGGAGATGGCTACAGACGATACTAATGATGATGGACATTTTCATTGCTTTCATTGCGCTGATTTTTGTCGCGGATTTCAATGGTAACACACATCGGACAGGCAGGAGCTTGGGTCGGGTCAAGGATAAGACAGTTCAGTAACCTAAAGGGATCAGGGATACAGGACAAATCGGCGAAGGAACACATATCATTCTTCCCCTGTTATTGTTGTTTGTTTGCAGTTTCTTTTTTCTTCTCTTCTTCTTCACCATTCTTGTCCGTCGCCAAATTTATGGAGCGAACACTTTCCACCAAGAACTTTCTTGCTGGCCATGTCTTTTCTCTCATTTCGTTTCTTACTGTGTTTATCTTCTTTTTCCCTTTCCTTGTAGGGATATTAAAATGGGTGTCGGTCTAAAGGCGGAAAATGGGAAAAACATGGAAGGCGAAGACAAAGGGCACGGATCAAGGGTCAGTACTGGTTCATTGGCATATGAAATATCGCATGGCATTTGCAAAGGATACCCGGTTTTTTTTTTTTTTTTTTTTTTCTTTCTTTCTTCTTTTTGCTTTCTTTGTTTTTACTACATTTAGTCTTCCATTACTTGGCTTTATTACTACCGTACTTCTTTTTTTGTTTGCCAAAGAAAAGCAAGAAAAAACAAAAACAAGTCACTATGTTTTCCATGTCCAGTAGTACCTCTACCTACCTACACATTGACAAAGACTTGGAGCGCCGTTGTCACGTTCGCGCTTCGTTTTTTTCTCCAGAGCTGAGTACAGAGAAAACGAAGGGGGAGATGATGAAGATCCATGGAAGACGAAAAGCCGGACAGATTGCGGAAAATCACTGGGGGGTCCAAGGGGGCTAAACAGGTTTGGGGAACTGGGAAAAATTGAGACGGGGTCACAGCCTTTTCGGTGTTGGTCGGTCCTCGGGCGGAAAAGAAAAAAAGAAGAAAAAAGAGTAAGGCAGAGAGAGTCCTTCAGAGCTCGATAGGCGCACTTTTAAAGCTTCCTTGTTTTTTTTTTCCCATCCCAGCATCATTTCTGGCTACAGTATCTCTTGTGCTCGACTCAGTCTCAGATGGATCGCAGGGATGGAAAATAGGCAGGCTGTCTGCTGGCGATCCGCCCGTCCGTCGGGTGTATGTTTGCGGCACGTTTCAAGGCCGGAGGCTGTGAAGACGGGTTGATTGATATATGCCTTGCGTTGATCACATAGTTTTTGTTTGGGGTTGGTTCAGTCAAGTAGGTAACCCCCAAGCCACGATTCCCTACCGACCGGCTGGTTGACCGGTTGGTAATGTTTTGCCTTGTTGCTTTTTGCATTGTGTATGTATACCTACCTACCATTGAGTCCATCGCGACTGAAGGAGAATGGGATGGAACAAGGCTGGGACTACACACCCCTCGTCCCTACGTAGTTTAGGTGCAGTATCAAGGTGGTTATTCTAGCAAGCAGGATTTGGGATTTTCCGGGCAGTTAACCCAATCGATGGCCTTTTTGCCTTTCTGATTCGCTGGGCTGGAAGTTATCCTCTTTCGCATTGCCTTTGGGTTCTTATGTCTAACCAGTTTTCTGCTGAAACTGCGCGTTGAGACAGCGAGTGATCCTAGAATACCTAACTTAAGCTCGGAACGAACAAATCGAGTGTGAAGCCTTCAAGTTTTTGTCGCGAGTGAGAGGTAATCAACGCCACTCAGCAGCCACTGCAGCCAAAAGATGGAAGTCAGTCGTTCGTACATCTCACTCGATAACCGCACGCGGCAGCCACTTATGTACTGTGCTGTAGAGATAAGTGCGACCCGTCCGCCTCTGTAGCGAGAGAACCAAAAAAAGAAGAAAAAAGAAAAAAAATGATAAAAAAAGAAACTGCTGCTGGGCTCTCCTGTGAGTTGAGTGAGTGAGGCCTCTAAGGCACCAATTTACACTGCACTGCACAGCAGAGAAAGGGTAGTGAAGAAGGGCAACGATCGTGCAGTGTGGTGATGTAAAGAACCACCGTCCCTCTCACATATACTACCAATTGATCACCCAACACTCCTTCCCTGGTATCCATAGCACCACGAGGTACCTCTGTTAGTGATCCCAAACTACAGTGGTATGGTAGAATCGATCGCTCTACTACCCCTTTTAACAAATTGTTAGTGATGGAACTTCCACTTGTTTGGCATGCTTGTGAGGCCTAGTCTTCGTGGTCCCCCGCTCTTGACGGCTTCATGACGGCTGCCTAGGTCGAGACGGACTCTTGCTCTCCAAACCTGTTGTTCTAGTTTTCACTGTAGTTCAAGTGTAGGCTATTCTACAGTGTTCCTGTCGTTGTCATTTATCTCCTTCCGTTACCGCCCCCGGCCGTCTTTAGCTAAGTAAGTACCTAGGTACTGGTTGTGAATGACGCGGCGGCGTTCTGGTCTGCCGCCCTCCTGAACTTCTGGCTTCTGACTTGACTTCCGACTTCCGACTTCCGACCACTACGCTTTTTTTTTCTTTTCTTTTTTTTCTTCCCACAGTGCCTAACGACTTGCAAACCAGACTCTGTGCTTCTTCCTCAGCTGCCTTAGCGTGTGATCTAGTATCTAGAACTTACTAGATATGCACACTACACTACTGAACAGGCATGATGTTCGACAGATATTTAATACCCTCTTTGCTCGGCAGCTGGGCTTACTCGTCAGTCACGTATCGTAACTACACTATGTACCACAACCAACGTCCAAATCCCCGGGGAAAAAAAAATTTAAAAAAAAATTTAGAATAAAAATAAAACAAGTCGAGTCGTTAGTTGGTTGTGTGGTGGCGGGGTTTGGCTGTCCAGTTTGTGACTCCTTTTCCACATATCTACGCTGTACCTACCTACCGTCTGGCGGCGTCCCGTCTGGCGGCGTCAGAGTACGTAGGTAGAGGTAGTGGTGATGTGGTAGCACAAAGGATGACATTCAGCAACGAGACAAGGGGGAGTGAATTTTGAGAAGAAGCGCCGTTCCCGCCGCCGCCGCCGCCGCCGCCGCTAGAGATTCCTGGAACCGTAGCAACGTAATTGTTTAGAATATAACTAAGAATCCAACCACTGTGTAGTGTAGGTGGTTGTTGTCAACCACTGGGCCAATGATGTTGCTGGGCGAAGTCAAGAAAAAGCCAGAAAGTTCCTCCCCGGCGGAGCATCATTGAACTCACTCGTCAAGTACCTAGACACCATTGCCCGCCAGAGGGAATCACATTCACTAGGTAGAGAGCTACCAGAGATCAACAATGACCAGCGAGGATGGAACAAAGATAAGCATATAATAAACACCGACCCGAGCTTACTCATATGCGAGCCGTTCCGGCTGGACACTCCAGTCTGACTGCTGAACTGGTGGCAAGATGACAGAGTGACTACTCTCTCCAGGAGTTACGGTCTGAACCAAGTACACACGGCGTTCAAAAGGACTGGAAGGAGGTAAGAACCGTATGTACCAACCAAGTAAATTACAAACCCGTGCTTACATCCACTCACTCATTCACTCACATCCTTTTCCCTCTTTCTCTCTTTCTCTCTCCCAAGGAAACTCCCCAAACCACCGCGCCGCGCCGCGGAACAAGCCGTACCGTACCGTACCGTGCCGTGCCGTCCTTCGCCCATTGTTTCTTCTTCTTCTTCTTCTTTTTTCTTGTCCTTGGGCTTATAGAATGGTATGATCAATCTTGCCATACATGAGAGTGAAATACGACATAAGGGAGGGAGTTGGGCTGAGAGGCAGGAGAACAAAAAAAAAGGGGGGGGCGGTATGACACAGATAGCCGACATCGAATTTTCTATAAGGTCACTATTGTAAGGGCGGGAACTGAAGCTTCTGGGGGAATGGAATGGTGCCAACGCCAACGCTTGAGGCCCGACGGCTTGGGCCAATTGTGGACTGATTACGGGGGGGATTCAGCGTTTGCCGTCGTGGGGG